GCCGGTTTCGTCATGTTCCCGGGGACATTCATCTCCCCCAGCGAGACCGGGGAAGCATCTACCACCCAATGGGATGACGGTGTGGTCAACACCGTCCAGAACACTTTTCTACTATCTGTCGCCGGCTCGTGTTGCACCATTGGTGTCCTCGGCCTGCTCTGGCTGGCAGTCCGGTGGCGCAAAAACTACGTGTGGCTGCTGAACAGGGTGTATCTTCCGGGGCTCCTCAACGGTCTAGCAGGAATCCTCGCTACCCTCACGATGATATACTCGCACCACAATGGGCACTGGAACATCCCGGCGCAGATCGCCGGCGTGCTGGAGGGTACCTGTCTTATTCTCTGTAGCTTCTCATTCATTCTGTACAACAACCTGCTTCTCCAAAGGCTGAAGCAGCAGCATTTTCGCTCCCTTCACTCGGGGAGAGGCGACAGGGGTCTCATTGGAAGAGTTGGCAAGGCGGCGAGGGGGCAGCCGTTCGCGCCGGGGAGCATTGTATAACAGACTTGCATGCATTAGATACCTTAGACGGCGTTCCCGGATAAGCCATGGTTGGGAAAGGCTAGGCAGGTCTATTTCAAAGAAATAACTAAAACGATCAACTCACACGTCTCTCGCCATTTGTTAGTGCAGTAGAGGCTCCGATTCCCCAATCCCATGGTGTGTGTGGCCCGTTCGCCTCCGCTCGATGATATGAGAAATCTCGTACGCCCCGTGACACAGCATACCCGCGGCGAAGCCGACGGCATCGTTCTTGAAAGCGAGGATCCCCGCCGTCGTCATGAGCATCACGGTCCACCGCTCCAGCCTCTCGTCATCCGACAGGTCTCTGTGCTTCCTGATCATGTTCGCCAGGCTGCTCGAGGCGTGGCCATTGTCCCCCTCGTCTATCGCTGCCTCCCACAGATCCGCCGCGCCGTGGTTCAGGCTCTGGCCAACCTTGGCCAGCTCCAGGCCGGCGGCAATCACCATGATGCCCAGGATGCTGTGCGGGAAGTGGCGAACCAGATCGAGCAGCGTCTCGCCAAACACCACGCCGAGAACAATCTTGAACAGCCCGAGCAGGATGATGCTGGCACCGCTGCGGGCACCGAAGCGGAACTGTGCAGCCAGGCCGCCGGCACCATGGCAGACTGGCATTGCACCGAACCAGCATCCCAGGAGATTCATCCCAGCAACACTGATTCCGAGCTCCGTGACGCTCGGTGCCGGGAGTTCAGGCATCAGATCGCCTGCCAGCGCGCTGGCGGCAATGACCGAGTTGAGCGTCGTCAAGGGCAATTGTGCTAAGGCCATGCCCCAAGCGTCGCCAGAGCTAAATCGCGGGACCAGCGCGAAGGGATGCCACACCGAGAACCATGGCAGGTGAGTATGGTGATGGTGGTGGGTGAGGATATGCGCAACAGCCAGGATGAGGCCGACAAGGAACATGAGAAGCGCATAGGGGAAGCGTGGGAGACGGGCCGTGATGATCAGTGCCAGAAAGGCAGCAAGCGCCCACAAGCGGTTGTCGAAGGGCGAGACGACCCAGCCGAGGGGCCGCAGGAGTGAAGAGCCGGCCGATATGATGAGTGACAAGCCGGCGCCGAACTGGATGCCCTTGACTACCGGGATGGGGATGTGCCTCGTGAGCCAGCGGATCAGTCCGGTCACACTTAGGATGAGGACCGCTGCGCCGACCAGAGCACCGGCGGCGACGGTGGTGCGCAGGGAGGAATGCGATGCTATGGCAGCCGCTGCGATGGCCTGAGATTGACCATTTAGTATACTGCAACTTCAGGGGCACTTTTAGCAACGAACCTTCATGGGCTGCACTGGCAGCGGGATCCCAAATACAACCCCGGTAGCGACATTGTAGAAGCCGGAAAACACCAAGGTCGTCGAGAGCGAAATAGATCCTTGAAGCGCAAGAGCGATCATCAGCGGGAGCAAAGTGCCCAAGTCGCCCAGCGCTCCCGAGATCTCGGCGACCGGCGCCCGTTGAAACGTCTCGGCGTTGTGCCGGTTCAGGCTGCGAATGTCGCGCAGGCCCATGGCTGAGGTATTTTAATGCCGTAACCCAAGAACTAGGAAAGAACAGAACTAGTCTTATAGATATTATGAAAAGACTCTTAAGATGTCAATTCATAAACAGTCGTCTAGGAACCTTTTATGGTCGTGGTTTAGATATTACAAGTCGCGGTGATGGTGTGGTCCTCGGAGGATTAGCCCGGAGATGTCATTTCTTACGCAGCCGGCAGCTCGTGCAGCTCGGAGATCGTCGTTGCTCACATGTTACCACGTCATGCCTTAACCCGCATTCAACCTCACCCTTTCGTTGCTCGAAAGGATTTTGTGCGACAGAATGAGAACTTCGATTATTGAAAGTGCAATAATTGGCTGAACTTAAGAGCAGGATTGCGATATAGGCAACAACCTCTTCAGCGGGGGCGTACGAATAGCAGGCTAATTAATACTGAGCTACTTGCAGGTGGAAACGAAGCATGTACGTATCGCTTCAAAAGTTTCAAAAGCCCTGCAAGCTCTTCAGCTCGAACATCTATGTCAACTCATACCTTAAGTCAGATATTCAAAGAGCAGGGCGAAGCAGCTGTAGACTTCAGTAGATAAATCAAAATGATACATCCAACAAATAACGGTAAGAACACCAAGTCATTATCACAAGTAGTAACATATGCAGCAGCGAAACACTTCATAATGTGAAGTACCACTTGAATAACATTAAACCCATAGATGGGCCTGGCTTATAGATATTGGTACATAGCTTTAGTACGTTCTTGATTGAACCACTGCCTTGGAAATCAGTGGTAGGTATCGTTAAGGAACGTGAAAAGGAGACAGTAGACCGCCGCTATCTCGATACGCCGGCTAAAGAAACTCCTATCCTTCTTTCAGATCATGCATGCAAATTCGTTGGTATCTTTAGTTTTGACGGATAATGAAAAAATGATTCGTTCGACGTTTTCTCTCGTCCACTCGCTCAGCAACCACTTCCCCCTCCATTATTAGTCCTTCTGAGCCAGCCGAGGGACATCGCTTAGAACCAGCGCCTGCGGCGAGCCGGGCGAGCGGGTGTGCCGTAGTCATTCTCGACCTTGGTGGTTCGGCGGCGGTGCAGTCTGGCGCTGCAACATGTGAAGAAGATGACGATGGTTCCCAGGAGAGAGGCGACGGCAGATGCAAGTAGCGTCCACATGGCGATGGAGTAGTACGCATCAGAGCTCGAGTCGTCGTCGTTGACATTGTTCTTGATGATGGCGAACAGCACGAAGTCACAGATGAGTGCAACAAGCGTGACAAGGAACGCCAGGAGTGACACAGCTGCGGCGAGGAAAGAGCCGAACATGCCTGCACCGATAGCAAGGATGAAGGCAATGAAGGCCAGAGCCGTGGAGATGGGGTGCAGAATCATCACCTTGGTCAGGGCCCGGGTCGTGTCGAGCGACGTCTTGGAGAAGTCGGTGCTCTCAGTGTTGATCATGACACGTCCAGGCGAGTAGCCAACCATGCTCTTGGAGCAGTGGTCATGGCCATCACTACCTAATTGTTAGCATGTTGCATCTTCTTTGATAACAGGCCGATGTGACTTACGCAGCGTTCAGCAAGCAGTAGCCAAAGGTTCCAAACGAGACCTTCGAGTGATGCGCATCGGTGGCATTACCCAGATCGACCTTCAGGATAC